AATATTACACTATTTTCATTTTCTTACAGGGGGATGAAGGGGTAATGCGTCCAGTAGAATCTTGGGAGGATGAAATGTAAAATGACGAGTTTCCTACATGAACTCGAACAGGAGTACCACCTGCCTTTTTACTACGCACAGCCCACCCTCTTGACCGAACAGGAATCTGAGGGGAAAAGGGTTTATTAAAGACTAATAGTTGATAAAGTGTTCATAAAATAACATGCTCATGCAAACCAAGCCACTATTACTACAACACACATATTTTGACATGGTCATGTGCAACAATCCTAGGCTGGTCTTTGCTCAGTAAACCAGGCTAAGAGATAAAGTACATACGTGAACTACAACCAAAGATGCATTCATCTGACTAAATAAATCCAAGCAAAACTTTGATAAAAATAAGAAAAAGAAATAAACTCTAAATCCACACACGTAAATAAAAACCTATGTCCATTCATTTTTCAAGACAACCAACTACCTTTGGGTTTTTTTCCCGAATTATTTTTATACACACACTCACACACACATATTAACTGATGATTTGTAACAAAGAGAATTTGCACACATCAACCAAACCAAAATAGCATGCAATGGTACTTGTGGCACAGACCTTTACCCGGACAGGGTTGGTTGAGGGAAGATGGAGGTCTTCTTCACAAGGCAGGAGAGATGGGATGAGTAGGGTCCTGCTGTCCCAGGTTAGAGCAACTTCAAACTTGTTTAGTAAACTAACTATGTAGCCTCTTGTGTCAACAGGGCCAATAGCTGACGATTTGAACACATGCTTCAAATCATCAAGTTTCATCACACCTGTAGTAGGCAACCATTTTAAATTCAATTATTACAAATAAAAGTAAGTAGGGCAAGTATAGACTTTGAATAGAAACCTTTACCTGTTCTAGCAAATGGATTAATTTCTCTAATAGTTACTACATGAGCTAGCATATCACAGAGCCATTGAGGATCAAGGAAATACAAATCCTTTAATGTAGCGTCATCATAGTGTAGAAGCACACCTGCAGTAATGAAACCAAAATTTATGTAGAGTTTACTTTTATGAGAAACAAAAAGTAAGTCAGTGTATTACACCTGTTTCATACATAATTAACTAAATCTTCCACTTCCAATACAAAAGTGGGAATTGAGGGCAAGAACGAATAAAAGTTAGAATGACTTGAATAACACACCATTGTCATGTAAAAATAATGTAGCCTGATGAAGCTCAGACCAGTCTCTAAATGTCTTCCCATATCGGTGCTGCATTTCACACCACACAACATTTTTGTATTGGTCAGCATTTAGCACGGGATCCACTCCCTTTGTTTTACGTTCAGCAGCTAAGTGGCAAACGACATCCTCCAACATCAAGTAACTTGCAGGAACCTTCTGTTCAAGTAAAAGTTCTTTGCTTCCTACAACAGAAGCGAGAAAAGGAAGACAACACTCAGCACTCACTCTAAACACACAAAACAGATATAATTCGTTTTTAAGGTTGCTTGTTGCTCCTTACCTGGCGGTCTTAAGCTGAAGACGGTGTCATAAATCAGGTTGCATAACAGCTTGATATTGTGCCTCGTCTTGCAGCTCACCTCGATTGTGTCCAGCACCCGAGGCAGGCCGCACTTCTCCGCGTCCACGATGTTGATGAACTTGTCCCTGATCAACTGCTGTAGGTCCTCCGACATGGACGTGGACGAGGGCGCCTGGCCGTTCTCGCGCACCACGTCGTAGTGCGTGCCCACAATGATGACTGGCGAGTTGGGCGCCCGCGCCTGTATGTTCACCAGCCATTGCAGGATCTCCTGGATGCCCTTGGCGCCGTCCGAGATCTTCCACACCACCAGGTACAGGCTGCGCTTGGACAGGAAGTACTGGTGCGTCGCGTAGTATTCGCGCTGTCCGCCGAAGTCCCACGTGCGGAACACGACGGGGCCGTAGTTGGCGTTGGCTTGGCCGCGCTTCTTCTCGTACACCCAGTCACCGATGTCCACGCCCACGGTGGACATGTTGATGCCTCGCGAGGTCTTGGTGTTGACGTTCTTGTTGCCCATGCGCTTGGCCCAGTGCTCCGTGGTGCCGGGCCGCTTGCGGAAGGAGCCGGTGCCCTCCTGGCGCAGCTGCTCCAGCAGCGACGTCTTGCCGATGCCCTGCACGCCCACAATCATGAGCTTCATCCGCGCGTACGGCTTGGCATCCTCCAGCACCGACTTGAGGTAGCCGATGACGTCCATCGTCTTGAACTTCTTCGAGTCGATCATGGACTTGAGCGGCTCCTGCAGGTTGCAGCCGCGCGTGTTGAGGTTCCAGAGCCGCGAGAGCAGCCCCATCTGGTGCGGGAGCTCGCACACGTCCGTGTTGCCGCTGATGTTGAGCACCGAGAGGTTGCTGAGCTCGTAGATGTTGTGCGGGATGCCCTTGAGCTGGTTGTTGCTCAGGTCCAGCATGCTGAGGTTGGGCATCATCAGACGCGCCTTCGTGGCGCTCACCGAGCTTTGGTGCCGGGGTGCCGATGGCGCACTCAGCACGTCGGTCTCGGTCACCTCCTCCTCGTCCGGGACGCCGCCGCCACCGTCGTCATCCGTGGTCAGCTGGATTCGCGTGACGCGGTTGTCGGCGAGGATGAGGGTGCGCATGTTGTCAAGACGCAGGTGACGCCGGTGCACGCACACGCAGTCCAGGATGACGCTCCGCAGCGTGCGCCGGCACGCCAGTGCGCTCCCGATGGCGGGCAGCTTCACCACGGCGGCAGGGGCAGCGGCCATCGCGCCGGACACACTTGGGGCGGCCCCACCCGCCTCTGTGCTGGGGACGGGGGCGAAGCATGCCAGCGCGGTGGGGTCCATCTGCAAAGAGTTGAGCATTTTGGTACATGGGTGCAACAACGGGGGTCGGCGGGAGTGCACTTAGAAGAAGGAGAGTAGAACTTACCTGCGGCAGGCTGGGCCAGCATGACACTTGGTTGTGCGACAGGTCCAGCTGCTTCAGAGAGTTGGGGTAGGATGTGATGTACCCCATGGATCCCAGGCTGTTGTAGGCCAGGTTGAGCCGAGTCAGGTTGACGGCCAGGCAGGGCAGGGCAGCAGGGATGCTGGTGAACTGGTTGTGGGCCAGATTGAGGGCGGACAACTGCGAGCACCCTTCCTGGTCGCATTCGCTGAGCAGGATCTGCTCCGTCACCTCGACGCCGTGGCCGCGACTCCACAGGTTGTGGTGCGCCAGGTCGCGCTGCCGCAGCGTCTTAGCGCTCGCGTACGAGGCGTGGAGCGACTGGCTGTCCAGAGCGTCCTCGGCGGGCGAGAGCAGGTTCAGGTTGAGGGCGAGGGCGAGGTCATCGAGCGCGTCCAGAGTCCCGCACGTGTCCGTCGAGGAGCGGCTTGAGTCCACGGAGGACACGCTGAGCGAGTCGGAGTGCGACCGGGTGCTGCCGGGTGTAGAGGGGCCCTGGTGTTCCGGTGGCACGGAGGGCAGGTCGCGGAGTAGGTTGAAGGCGGCGTTCAGCTCCTTGAGTTTGGGCGCGCGCCACACGGCGTAAGGCAGCGCCTGCAGCTGGTTGTTGGACACGTCGAGGGTGACCAGGGACGGCAGCGAAAACACCTCCTCGGGAACCTGGTAAAAAGAGTATTTCCAAGTTATTTCCTTCAACGCTAATTTGTTCTCGATTTGAACTCGCCCTCCCACTCACCTGCACCAGCCTGTTGTACTGCAAGTACAGTTCCTTGAGGCAGGGCGCGTTGTATGTGACGCCCTTGCCCTTCGCCCCGCCGCGGCCCTTGCCGCCCCGCGTCGACGGCGACCCCGCGGGCTCGGGAAGCCGCTCCAGCTTGTTCTGCGCCAGGTTGAGGCAGCGCAGGCTCTGCAGCTGCAGCACGGCGGGCGGCACCCACTCGAGGGCGTTGTTGGAGAGGTCGAGGCGCGTGATGGCGTACAGCGCGATGTCCTGGTGCCGGGGGTTGAGCTTCAGCTTAGGGTTGACGTGCAGCGCCGCGTCTACCAGCCACTGCGTCCGGACCTGTAGCAAAGCGCGCTAGCGTGAGCTTACATGTCCGCGGCTGGAAGTGCTTGGGGGTGGAGGTGGAGGCTTCTTCTCGACCCTACCTGTGACAGCCCGCAGCGCAGGCCGTGCCAGTTGATCATGGCAGGAGTGTTGGGGAACATGGAGCTGTACGTGAGGCTGGCCAGCCCGGCGAACTGAGCCGCCGCGGGCACGTTCTCACTCATGGCTTTCTTGTTGATTTTATACTCTGGGTCGACGTGTGCCTGCGCGGAAATACACACATTCGTTAAGTAACGCCATGTATGCCGTCGACCGACTACGGACGTGGGACATGATCGCAAGAGTCACCTTGATGGAGAGCAGCTTGGCGAGTAGGATGTCCTCCTTGCCGGAACCCAGGCCGGCCGCCACGCGCAGCGCCCTGCACTCGTCGTCGCGCGCACCGAAGCGCAGCATCAGGTCCACCATGCCGATGTCCCTGTTCCGGCACGCCTCCACAAGGGCCGTGGAGCCACCGCCCCCGGGAGCGCCCGCGCCCCCGGTCCCGCCCGCGGCCGGCGCCTTACCGTGCCCGTCCTCATCGTGCGGCCCGCTGTCCTGGGCGACCACGTTGGGGTCGGCGCCGGCCTGCAGCAGCGCGTTGGTGATGTCCCAGTGCTTGCCCCTGGCCGCCGCGTGCAGCGCCGTCTCCGCGTTGGCGTTGCACCTCATGTCGAGCAGCACGGGGCTGAGCTGCCGCTCCGTGGCGCTGGCCCCGCTCGCGCTATTGCTGCGCGACGAGAGGCTCAGGTTGAGGCGGGACATGATGGAGTGGATGCCGTCCGAGATGCGGCGCGCGCCGCTGGTCGGGCTGCGCGGCTCCGACGGCTCCGGCGGCCCGGCCCCGACGGCCTCCTGGGCCTCCTCGCACGACTGCCGGGAGGGACAGAGAGGGAATGAGAGCTGCTCGAGCACATGTTCACCACTGGGCCTCATGCCTCGCGGCGCTCATACCTTGATACGGCGCGCCGTGACGCGAAACTTGAGGAGCATGTCCACCATCTTGGCGTTGCCGAGCACGCAGGCCAGGTACAGCACGTTCTGACCGGTGCGGTCCTGCATGTTGATGTCGAAGGGCATTTCGTACTCCCACTCGTTGGTCGAGTCCCGGTACGAGCCGAGCACGCCCGGGGGGTACGGGTGCCGGAGCAAGAGCTCGATCACAGAGAGGTGGCCGTTGATGGCGGCCGCGTGTATGGGCAGCCATTCCTCCACGGTGAACTGGCGCACCAGCTCGGGGAAGCGCTGCCGGCAGAGAGCGAACGGTGAGGTGAGAGCGCGTCCGGTGAGCAAGAGGCGGACAGCCGCGGCGAGCACAGCGATAAAAGCCCACTTACCTTGAGCACAATCTGCACCACGTCCTTGCGGCCCTTGAAGCAGGCGATGTACAGCGGCGAGTAGCGCGTCACGGGGTGGATGCGCCCGTCCGCATGCCTGTCCAGCAGGTCCTGCACCATCTCCCGGTGGCCCAGCTCGCACGCCCTGCCGCGAACAATGAGCACATTAGTGACAGCCTCGTCCTCGCCCTCGCCCTCGTGCACACAGACCGGCCAGACACTGAGGCCCGGCGGCCCGGCGCTATGCAGTGCGGCGCGAGCAGGACTTACAGGAACAGCAGCGTGTTGGAGCCGCTAGGTGCCATGTTGATGACGAGTTCGGCCTCCGGCCCCAGCTCGGCGAGTAGCGAGCGCACCAGGGTGAGGTCGCCCGCCAGCACCGCCTCGCGCACCTGGGCGTGGGCGCCGCGCCGCACCGACTCCTTGGCATCTATAACCGAGAGGGGGAGGGTCGTGAGCGAGCGTGAGCGGCACGCGGGGGAGGGCGGCGTCCAGCCACGGTAGCAGAGAGGAGACGGCGCGCTGCTGTGCCGGCGGCGACGGAGAAGCTGCAATGTGCAAGTGTGGACAGAGTTGCAGAGACCACGCCGACAACCTGCAGTAAAGGGGCACGGGACGAGTACCAGTACCAGGAGCGGGCGTCGGCTCCAGCGACTTGCCTTCGGTGATGTCGTTGACGAAGTAGCAGCACGCTTCAAAGGCCGAGTCCGCCCCGACTCCCGGGGGCAGCGCCGGCAGCGGCTGCGGCTGCTGGGGCGGTGGCGGCGGTGGCCATCTCTCCTTGAGCGGCTCCGCGATGGTCACGGACAGGAGTCGCTGCAGCTGCTTCATCGTGCTTCATGTCACCCTACAACACCATGGCACTAGAAGTGAGGGGAGGGCCGGGGAGGAGTGCTGGGGGGCACATGAAACACGTGGATACACATGGGGGCTCAAACGATGGAGGAGGGAGACCCGTTACATCCTTTATTGTCCACGGACGAGCGACCCGTTTAGAGATAGAAATTTGGGAAAGGGTAGAGGAGGGAGAGG